CCAGCGAACGGCTGCTTATAAATCGTGGCTTATGCATCAGCATGATGCAATGCTGATGGATGGCAGTTTTAGCTTCCTCGTACGCGGGACGGCTAGGCTGACGAAAACCAGATGGATGACTCGAGCGAAACGAATTACTCGACAAGGGGCTCCCGACGACTCCATTTAGTTTCATCTCTTTGGTGCTTTGAAAAGACCTTCAAAAATTGTAGGCCAAGCACACTTCTTTCGACATTTACTTAACCTTCTATATTCATACATCATAGAGATATATTCCTTTCAGTACTCAGTTGTCTGGAATTTTTCACATCAGACGCACCTCCCGAGGTACAGGATATATTCGATCATTCCAGTACGTGGCGGAATCCGAAAATTTGCCCAAACTAGGTGGACGAGCCCGCGTACTTTCTTCTTCTACTGACCTTTCCATTAGTATCTTGGTAAGGGAGTATGTTCCCACGTTAGAGGGAAGTAGGTAGCACCACCTGTGTCCCCTCCCTACTTCTCTACTACTCGCTGCTAGTTTCCATTGCCTACTTTCCAATACAATTTTAAGGCTGGTAAAACTATATGTTGAACTGTTCCAAACTCTTATTCACAGACGTCACTCTGGACTTCCATTGCCAGGCACCAACCAACCCACGAATATTCCACCAATGCGATCAGTCGTCTTCGATCTAATGACAGTGCTAACGTGCCCAGATGCGCTGTCACCTTCATACCTCACCAATTCCCAGCTCATCATCGAATGCACGGAAACAGAGCAATCAACTACCACGTGCCCAGGTAATAACTACTGACCTACTTCTCAACCTTGGTAAGAACAATACGCGTTTTTCAGCGCCTGCAAGATGTGTCAGAGCTCCTAGGGATGTGCTACGTCGATCCGTATGCTGTTCCGGCTTCAATGGAAGTTAGCCAACATATTGCTACGACTGAAAAATAAAACACCATTTCTAATTTTTCCACTTTATTGCTTACAGACACAGCTGAACTTATAATAAACTATATATTTTGAAATCTTCATACAGCCTTTAAAATCATATCCCCGTGTAAAAGCCTATGAAACATCCAATTTT